ATTTTGAAGTAACTCTAAGTTGAAAGTTAAAAGGTTTGAAGGGGAACTATCACAACAAATGTAAGCAGCGAAGAAACACAAGATGACAAATTAAAGGGAAGGCATAGAATCTGAGGAATGCACAGGGGAGCAAGAAATGAAAGAGACTTCAAGCTGGCAGGGGAATCACATTTGCCAAAACCTTCAGGTGCTCCAGTGAATAAAACTCTGAAAGTGCAGATCATTATTATCACTGCATTAGGCTAATAACATAGCAACCTCCTATTTGGGTAAAATACTTGGATGTAGATAGCAAATCCTTAGATATAGGAAAACATTTTATTTAATTAGTGGAAGCTTGATTATCTCTAGACATGTTCCATTAGTGTGCCTTGGTTATCTGAGTGTATCCCTTATCAGGAGTTTGGCTCAACAAGTCCATTTATTGCACTCCATGAAAGTATCTTCCTGCTTAACTCCTTGTGGCCAACTGCGGGGTCTCTGGGCTTAGTGATTTTCAGGTTGTTTTGTGCTTCCTTAGTGGCTTGTCAGAGCAGCTCCAGTGGGGGAGCATTTCCCATATGTGGGTGCCTGTGCCCACAGTTAGCAGGAGGTGAGAAATCAGGCTGTGATGCCTTCCAGAGCTGAAGGAGCCCCTTGGCATTTCACTGGCAGCCTCATTCCTATCATCAGCCAGAACCCAGGCACTCATTAGGCTCCTGATGAAAAGCATCCCAAAGAAAATGCCAGCAAGCTGTGCCACTGTGCTGGCAGGAAATTAAAACTGCTCAGAGCAAGTGGAGCCAAGAGAGCTGTTGATGTGAAAAGTAACGTCAAGGGTGTGATCGCTGACTCACACAGGCATTCCGGATTCTGGAAGCAGCCTTCTGCCTTAGTGGGGAAAACACAGGTCTCTCTCTTCTGTCAGCCAGAGTTAGTTCAGCAGAGGGGCTGGAATAGGCGGGAAGGTGGGATCTCTGAGATAAACTTCATTGTGCGTGAGTAAATTCTAGGGGTTTGGGTATGTTCTTTGGCCTGAAGAAGTCCCTCCTAGGAAAACCAGAAATAAGACAAAGTTTTCTTTTTCATTTTTTTGTATTTGTGGTTTATTTTTCTGGCTCCAAATTAAATGCACCAAAACTACTATGGAGTGGAAGAGTCAGAGTGGAACAGGGCAGACAAATACTCAGAAACTATGAACCTGGCAAGGGACAGATGAAAGGATACTGTAATTCTAAAGAGATATTTTGTTAATCTTACTACTTTTATTCTGAGGGTAAAATGACCATCAGAGGGGGAAGAGGAGATGCTCAGTAGAAGGCAGCACCAGCACACAATCAAGGCACAAGGAAATCTGCATTAACTGAGTGTAGTAGACAGAGTGATTGTCCTCCCAAGAAAAACGTCCCAGACCTACTCCCTGGCACCTGTGAATTTGCTACCTTACATAGCGAAGATGTATGAGGTGGCTAATTAGCTGACCTTAAGCGAGGTTTTCCTGGATTATCCTGAGATTACTAAAATGACAGAGGTCCCTAATGTGAAGCAGAGGCAGAAGTAGAGGTCACAGTGATATGAAGAGGACTCTTACTTTCAAGCTGTAGGAAGGTGCTACAAGCTGAAGAATATACCCAAGGAATAAAAGTGATCTCTAAAGCTGGAAAAGATAAGGAAACTGAATCTCTCCTCAGGCTCCTAAAAAGGAATGCAGCCTTGCTACCACCTTGATAGAGACAGAGAGTCATACTGGATTTCTGACTTTCAGAACAGTAAGATAATAAACTTTAATTGTTTAAGTCATTAAGTTTGTGGTAATTAACAAAAGCAGCAATGGAAAATGAGTACACTGATATTTAGATGAATTATCTGAAGTTCGAAAAAGGAGATTCCAAGTTCAGTTACAATTCTCAGGGCAAAAATATAAGATAAGAAAGCAGTGAGAAGATTCAAAAGGTAGATATATATGTTAGACGTATACGGCATGTTATATACATTATTTTCTACATCATTAATTTTACAAGGATATATCATCATTCTAATGTACAGATGAGGACTTTTTTAGAAAAAGTAAAACAAGCCATGTCTTTTAACTAATTAAAATGCTCCAGTAGTTCCCCATCTGACTTGCAGCAAAATTCAAGCTCTTTATCCTAACCTTTAAGTCTCAACATCACTGGTACCCAAAGTATGGGCAGCTGATCAGCATCCTTAGGGACCTTGTTAGAAAAGGAACACCCAGGCCCTACTAGAGATCTAGCTGTTCAGTCAGACTCTCTGGGGATGAGGCTCTGAAGTCTGTGTTTTTTCTTGTGTTCCCAGTGATTCTTACACAAACTGAAGAGTTTGAGAAGCACCATTCCACATGATGTGTGCTTACCTACATCAGCAGCCACATTGTGCCACTTACCCTTGTTTGCCATCCTCCAGCTGCACTGGCCTTCTGTCCTGGCATGGATGTACCATGGCTACTCCTACCCTGGGACTTTACATTATCTCTGATCTCTGCCCATTCACTTCTCTCCTTAGAAGTCTGTCTGCCATTCAGATCTTGAAGTTTCCCTAATTGTGAGCACATAACAATCGAAAGAAACAGTGCTAATGAGATTGGTCCCTATTATCCCACCATAACCTATGCCAATGCATTGAGAAAAGTAGATATCAATCAGTTATGAATAGAAAACTAAAGTCGATAAGTGGACACCTCATTTAATTATTACTAACTAGGTGAATAGTTGATATGTAAATTTTATCACAAGTTTTATCCATTGTAATCACAGCACTTTTTATTTCTTAAGTAATCTGGTATTGGGATTTTTGACTTACAGGAACCTTTTAGTTGTAGTTAATAGGTTAACTTTCCCATCTCATGACCTTGTCTACACTCTTTATCTGAACTGAGACTTGAAAAGCAAGCACTAAGGCTAGCACATACCCTACACATTAACTCGATCTGTGTTGAAACAATATTAACTGTGCATCCCCTGTGATGAATAAACACTTCTGCTTTTTCAATTCCTAAAGTTTGCTGTTTGTACAATGGGTGCTATTGCTTTTCACATGTTTCTTAGTAAGGTCTTAAAGTTGATCTTTTTTTAATAAATTAACTTCAGTAGCTATTTTTATGGTGAATACATAGGATATTATCAAAGTTTAACTCTATTGAAAATCAATGCTTTACTCGGGAAAATTTAACATTTTTAGGAAAAAAAAAATATCCCTACTGCAATTAGTAAGCCTCAGAATATTGACTATGTTATATGATAGAAATGTACTTCTTTTTTTATAAACGATTGGCTTTTTATGCAGAGATAAATGTACATGTTTCCACACACATCTATATTGGGTCACATTTGTAACTCCGTGGTTAGATAGCATTTCCCATGCTGTCACCCCAGGGCACTCACACACCCCTCCCTGGGCTTGGCAGGGCTGCTGGGCGGGCCTTGGGTGAGGGGTGGACACTGGGCAAGGCACTGTATAAATAAATGCCAAGGTCAAGAGCAGGGGGAAACGTGAGCGTGCATCTTGAATAAGAAATGTGGCAGGGCCGGCAAAAGAAAGTGCCATATTCCGTCCAAGCCCCTCAGCCAGAGCAGGGAGCAGGGCAGAACTGCTCTGAGGCTGAGGCGCACCAGCACCCAGGACCCCTTCTTCCTTCACCCTTCGCTGGCTTTGGAACAGTCCCCAGGGCTCAGCTGGAAAGGGAGGCGGCTCTTTGGGAGTAAGAGCCACTTAGTGCCGTTGTCTCTCAGCAGAGCCAGCCCTGGGCTGGGTGCTGTGTCCTTCTGAGGTCCTGATCTGTCCCCTGGGGCCAGCTCAGTGATGGCGAGACCCTGTCCAGGCAGCGGGGCTTAGAGAGAAAAAAGAGGCCAACTCCTGTTCAAGGCTCCACCAGAGTCAGCGATCTCAGAAGCCCAACGCCCCCTTCCCAAGAGGCAAAGCCAGCTTCACTCCGCAGGACACGCCCAATCCCTGGCAGGTCCTGAGCGTCCACTGACCCAAAGAGTCCTCTGCATCTCTAGCCAGGGTCTCATGCGCATCCGAATGGCTTTGCAGCAGGGGCGATCCACCGGCAGTGCCAAGGGTCCCAGCAGAAGGCAGAGGATGCCCGGGCCCTGGACCTCAGCCGTGCTCCAATTCCTCTGGCCTTGGTGTGAATGGGCTCTCCCTGCGCGAAGGACTGGTGCACTTGGAAATGCACTTCTTAGTCATGTAACATTCCGGGATAGACATTTCTGGTCAGTGGATGGCTACTTGTAACCCCTAGCAGTGTGGGAAACCTATGGCACGCGTGCCGCAAAGGGCTGTTTGTATCTGAAATCTCTAAAAGGCTCGCCGCCATCACTGCCCTGGGGCCTCAGATGATTTCGCTTTCACCCAGCAGATGGGGAGACTGTAGCCCAGAGTTGGAAGTGACATCACCTGCGTTCATATTCTCTTTTGAAAATGTGTTAGATGCAAGGGAGATAGCGAAACGTGGTTCATGGGTGGGCAGCCTTTCTCGGTGATCAAATCGCTCCATGAAAGGAGAGTACAGCAGGACCCTGTGTAATTTACCCTAGCGCTGTGTCCCAGTGCGATTGCTAACCGCATGTAATCCTCAATGGCAGCCAACGTGTCTCTCTTTCTTGGTTACCATATGTGCTTTTCGCCCTTTTAACTATGCCTCTGCTATATATACTCTATACCACTTGATATTTTTTCATTTAGAAATTCTCATTGCTCATAATTATTTGTTCACCCCTGTTGCAAGCTTCTGGAGCACAAGACCATTTCCTGCGTAGGACTTTGTTCATTGTATTACCAGTACCTACCGTGGTGGCTGAACTAGTACTTCACATACAGATCAAATCTTAACAATTTTGAATAAATGAATGAAAGTACTAAATTTCTGTTGCAGCATATGATCTCTTAAGATATGCCCTCCACTATAAGCTACTTACAATGACTTTTTGTATTGTGGACCACTGAATAAATCAAGCCAAAATTAAGGTATTTTGTTGTTTTGTCTTTTCATAAAGGACAGGATGCCATTGTCACACTTCTGAAGCATTATAAGAGACCCCAGGATGAACTGCCCTGTAATGAATATTCTCGTCCTGGAGGAGGTGCCCACTTTTGCATTCACTTTTCATTGTTGTGATGCATGGCACCTAAAGGTAAATCTGTGTTTCTGGGATTATCATTCTGGGGCTAGGGAGGAGGACATAGCTATGCCACATTAGCCTTATTTTCAGAAAATTTATATCTGGATGAGTCTGAATATAAAGAAGCCTCCACTTAGGCTATTTTCTAATTCACCAATCCACAGTTCCCCCATGTTTAACATCGCCTAGGCAGGTAGTGTATAGGGCTACGCAAGGCCTGGGTAGGCTAAGAACAGTCATTTTCCATTTCAGTAATCTATTAAGTAATCTGGCAAGGCAGGGCAGAAAATACTCCAATCTAGATACAAATTAAATCTGATAGAGATGGCTACCACTTGGATTTTCCTTTTTAATCATTTTACGCAGTTTTTAAATAAATACTTGTACAGTTTCAGTATCCTGAGAAAGATTTGGGCCTTAAGCTACAGGTTTCCTTGGTCTCATCAACTGGTTTTTTTTTTTAATAATATTGAATATTTAAGTAAAAAATAAATGATTGCTATATTCAACTCTTTTGTATAATTTGATTTCTGGATGGCTCCTATGTGTCTGTTCCATCCCCTTTGGGGAAGATTAAAAACATAACAAAAGGTACTTATTAGTGGAAGAATTGTTATATTTTCTTGTTAAGATAATTTTGCCTAAATGTGATAACTTTCTGGGTTGTTTTATATATTACAAATGATGACTATTTTATGATCATAAGTAGTATTACCCACTATGCTGTTAATTAACTGTATCTTTTATGCCCTTTTGGTTCATGAAGATATAGCAGTGACAATTTCAAATGAGAAAGATCAAATTTTTATAGCTATTTAGAGATTTGTATTTTATTAGAATATAAATTAGAAATATTAATATTTTGGAAGAATTGAGAATGATTTTGCTTAATAAAGTATTTGAAGAAAGTTATTTTTCAAAACACATTTCAAGTAAGTAATACATTGTGAATTTTTAAAAATGTAATGCTGTATGTTGAAATTAAATACCATTGAACCAGGAAAGTACAAACTAGGATTTTACTATAAGTTTTATTTCACTATTTTGAATTTGAAATCTTTTAAAACGTGTGTGTGTGTGTGTGTGTATGTGTGTGTTCCCTCAGAATGACTTAAATAATTATTTTGTGGCATTTCATTGGCATCCCATAGAGGTTTAGTTTGTCAATATTTGACTTATTCTATTGATATAGATTGAGGAGACTGACCTGATAAGAACCGTTATCATCTTGTCTGTAACTGTACTCCAGGTTTTCCATGTCAGGCAGGATGGTTAATGATCAGATCAGATCTAAAAGCATAGCCCTGATAACAAAGCCTGTGCAACTGAGACAGAAAACGAACATGCTTTTAATGCAGGGGCACAAGGATCATGTGTGATAAAGTTTTAGTATCTCCAAGTAGTCAATTACAGTTAGAAAATTAAATGTCACCAGGGAATCATCATTTTGGCTGTGTATGTGCGTGTGTATCCATCCAATTGTGCTCTTTATCTTAAGAAATAAAATGACAATTCCTGTTTGTAGAGAAGGTGGATGTTCTCCTCCTGAGGGCCAGATTGCCTTCACATTTCCATCTTCAGCTCTCGGAAATTGAGTTCCATGAGATTATCGGCTCAGGTAACCTAAAACACCACAGGTCTGCTTTAGTTTCATGAACCCGAGATAATCTGTGTTTATTTATTTTAAACAATTTCAGGTTCTTTTGGGAAAGTATACAAAGGACGATGCAGAAATAAAATAGTGGCTATAAAACAGTGAGCAAGCACATGAAAAACATTTGCACCCAGGTGGAGTTATGACCTTTGCAAAGCATATGCATGGCTAAGCCCTTGCTTGGAACCATCTGTTGACTGGAGCTTCCTGTTGCTGCCATTTCCAGCTGTTGAGCCAACACCTATTGCTCCAAATCAGATATGGATATGTTTTGCCGAGAGGTGTCCATTCTCTGCCAGCTCAATCATCCCTGTGTCATTCAGTTTGTGGGCACTTGCTTAAATGATCCCAGCCAGTTTGCCATTGTCACCCAGTACATCTCAGGAGGTTCTCTGTTCTCCCTCCTTCATGAGCAGAAAAGATATGCGCTCTCCCACTCACTTATCCTTGGAATTGCCTTGGCAACTCCTTTGAGGCCTTCTGATTGGATGAACCTTGACCTTCTTAAGCCTCTGAGAGTTAGTGAATGTGGCGTTTTAAATATGGCCAATAATGGATGCCTTATTATTTTATTTGAAGCAATAGAAGTACTCTCTTGATTTTGTAACAGCAAGTCAGTTGAAGATAACAGATCTAGTAATTTGAAATTGGCAACTAAAGCTTATAATATTTAGGCTAAATTGGACATAACAATAGGACAGATATACATGGGCTCAGAATAAAACATTTATTGAGTCACAGTATTTATAAAATATTAAAAAAGAATAGTCTTGTACAAGTCTAATTTGAGTTTATTTCCTGCATCTATGTATACAATAATTAGAATGTGGTTTCATTCAGTGATTAAATAGATTCTATTTTACACTATTAAAGAGAACTTAAATGTAATATTACAAATAAATTTAAAAAGCAAGTACAATATTTTAAGCAAAAGGTGTTATAAATCTAAGTTGACCTATAATTAAACATTTTCTGATGTAGAAAATCTGCATTCTCAGATTTTTGAATTTTTACCTTAACTTCCATAAATAGAACTCAGGATGAAATTACACAAAATTAAAAAAAAAAATCACATGCACCCTTTGATTGCTTTTAAAATATATATTAGTTTTAGCCATTTCATCTCATTAAATCTATTTTTACTTTCTAGGGCCCTTGATTTGGAGTCTAAGTTAATTATTGCAGTAGATATTGCCAAAGGCATGGAGTACCTTCACCACCTGACCCAGCCAATTATACACCGTGACTTGAACAGGTATTTTTTTCTAAACAATAAACTTAAAATTATATAACTAACTGGGAATCTAAGACAGACTCAGTGAAGAAACATTTAGATTTATTGCACATCAGGGTTTTCTACCTACTCTGTAGGTAACAGAACAGGCTACCATAGGCCTAAGCAATAGAAAGTTGTAAGATTTTACAGAAATACAAATCTATATAACCATTTCCAATAGATCTTCCAAACCTATGGAAAAATCATGAAGGAAAGATATCTCTAAGATGCACTAGCTAAGTACATTGAATATTTCTACCAACAATGGGCAAGTGGTCCCATAAGATTATAATGAGCTAAAAATTCCTATGTTTTAGTGAAATTGTGGCCTCTGTAAAGTAGAGCAACATATTACTCACATGCTTATAGTGATACTGATGTAAACAACCCTACTGTAATGATCTGTGGTTGCTTATTTCATGTCACATTATTCTAGATCAATAACTTGCATTTTTCATGATGGTCAACAAGGTTCATAGAGATCCTATATGTAAACTTCAGAATTCTGTAACAGGACATGAATAGATTTACTCTATTCAGTCATTTGCTCAATAGCTATTTGGACATTTTCTGTGTTTAAACCTTTACACTTGACACTGCAGAGCTTGCAAAGTGTAGCTGCCTTAGATTCTACTTTCCAGGAGCTTTAACATCCTACTAGCAGAGAAAAATACTTGCCAAAATATTTGTAATATATAAAATAACAGGTTTTGTCAAAGAAATAGTGAATTTTTAAGTAAATTTTAGAAACAATATTAATTAGTTCTGAAAAGTTTAGAGACAACTTCACGGAAGAGGTGATACATAAGCTTGATCCTGAAGGAGGAGTAGAATTTGGAAGAGCATCCCAGACTTCAGGATTATCTTAATAAAATCAAGAGATTAGAAAGTTAAAAGTATATGTGGGAAACAGCATTTTAGTGCACAAAATACTACATGAATACATTTGGTGACTCAGATGATTAGGAAAGAAATGTAGAAAAATGGAATAACACAAAAAGCAGTGCATGCTGCACTAAGGTAGTTTAGACACTGTAAGCAAGGAGGAGGCACTGAGGAGGTTTGAACTGGGAATCACAGATCTGAAGCTGCCTTATGGGAAGATTAATCCAGCATCTCATAAAAGATCAGCTTGAAAGGAAGAATCAAGAACCTGGTGAGGCAGCTGTTGCAGGAGTCTGGATGGGAAGTAATTAAAAGCCGAATTTCACTAGTGGCAAGTATAAATGAAAGAAAGAGACCAATACAACAGATAAGAGAGATAAAATGGACTAAATCAGACACAAGAGAGGTGGAATTTTAAATATTGGATAAATAATAAGGGGTGCAGTCTACTTATAATGTTAGTAGTTTTCAAGTAAAAGCCATTTCTTCAATTTTAGCTATTAATTTTTCCATTAGTTCTCTTTTCAAAACAGATATTTATGTTAAATATATTTTTCTTTGAGTTTTAATAACAATATATAGGAAACAGATTTAGATGATAAATTAGCATAATGCAAGCTCATAATTTTGAATTTGAGAGTTATTGCTTTGCCATCCCAGCCAACTTTGCGTGTCACATTGAAACAAATGAGTGATTGCTGCATGTTTTCTCTACCTGTCCTTTATTTGTGGTGTAATCAAATGCATATTCTGTTGTCTTCTAAGTTAAGTTGTTAACATCATTCATGCAGCAGGACCAAAAATATAAATGTGGATTAAAAGTGAAAATAGGATATTTATTATGAAACATGTATGTTTACAGTTTTTTCTGCCTCTACTCTAATCTGAATGCTAAAATTGCACCAAAAATTCTTCAAACATAGGTACTGTCAATACAGAGTCTGAACTGTCACATCTGTGTATTATGTGTGGACTATTTTCTACCAATCTTTAATCAAGTAACAACGCTAATACATTCAGTTTTTCAGTACAGCAATATGTATTGCTCAAAAAGCATGGGTCCTATCCCTCAGAGAGCTTACTATAATATAGTTGGGTATACAGGTTATATTCCCAGGGAACAACTAAATTTCCACTTTAGGTAGAAAATGATTAAAGGCCAAAATGATTAAATAGCAACTTTCAAAGGATTTCAAGTAAGTAAGAGATCAAAGTGGAGTGGACTCCTTCCTGGAGGATATGGAGCTGAATCTAGACTTTGAAAACTGGGCATGAATCTCTCCTCATTCTTTTCACAACATATTAACCCTAGCTTTTCCACACTACTTAGTCCCACTGAAAGAGGCAGAGGGAAGGATACACGTTAGAGTGTCAGGATCTCAGACACTTATCTGTCTTTGCATTGACACCACCTCTTGACATTTTTGGTTCTCCCATGTTCCCGGGTAGGGCAGGGCTTCAAGATCAGAGACTCTTCTCTCCTCCCTCCTTTCCATAGCTGAGCATAATGTCCAGAGGTGATGCTTCAACCATGTATTTTTATCAGAACCAAATTATTGGGAAGCTCCTAGGAATGTCATTCTAGGAAACACTGGCCTGGTTGATACAAGAATGGCTTATTGTGTATTGAATCTAACTAACCAGTGCCTTTGGTAATTCTAAAGGAAAGGGGTTATTTTGAGCGTATTGATCGGCCCACAGAAAGGGGACACTTCTGGATTTGGATTTGGAGTTGTTATTATATGAGCAAAAGGAAAGAGCCCTAATTTTCCTCCTGGCAAGCAAGGCTTCTCTGGGCTTTTTACCACATAATTCTGAAGGTTAATTTTCATCTTTAGTATATACTAAGGAGAAGTTCAAGGAATGAATAAGGAATGGTTCCTTCAATGATAGTGAGAATAATAATACCAACCAACTACTTAGCACTTGCAATGCAAAAGGACTTCTGCTCAGATTTGTCCTGCTCTCATTTGATCTAACTACAACTTCATGCTATAGTTATTATCTCCATTTTACCGCAAAGAATACAGACTAGAA